TATGTAAAAAATTATAGGGATTAGGATTTCTTAGAATTAGGGGTACCATATTTGGGGGTCCCTGTAGTAAGGATTATAGCATGTTGGGCTCTATATTGGGGTCCCATTATTTTGGGAAACCACCAAATAGCCCAATGGTAATATTTATGAACATCTATATAAAGCTTTAGGGACCAGCGTACCAATGGTAATATCTATGAAAATTATAAGCTTTAGGGCCCGATGTAGGTGTTGCTTGTAGACTTGGGGCCCGGGATATGGCTTTGAGACGGCGCGTGTGGCTTGTGGAGGCGGTGACCTTGCTTCTTGACTTTCATGCACCCCACCATGCGGCATTTCCACCAATGGGTCGGCTATCCGAAGGAAAACGGATGTAGAGCCTATACTAGGTCGCTGTTAAGGAACCTAATTAAGTTATCTTAATATGGGTATATAGTAGATAGGATTTCCTTGCTATAGTATCTTAATTCATGTTCCTTAACAGCAACCCGGTATGGTGATTGCGCCTCGAAGCTATAGAGTTCTGATGACACATCTCCCTCGTGTTTGACATGCTTTCATTGTCAAACTGAGGGGTACTTTTCTCCATGTCACCAATCCAGACAGGCGGGGTGTGGAGAGAGTTTACTTTCTCTAGCTTGCTGTTGTAGCTTCAGGGCTTAAGTTAAGGACGGGTCTTATTGGGTGATAAGATCCTTTGACCCTCAGCCCCAAGCCCTAAACCCTTGCTGCCTTACTCCCAACAATCTACAAGAAACGGCAATAAACCCGAAACCCTTAGCCCTTAACCCTTAACCCTAAAACGCTGAAACCCTAAACCCTTAAACCCTAAGCCCTAAACCCCAAACCATGTCACCCTAAACCCCATGGGCCTCCCCCTCTCCAAGGCCACGCAGAAAAAAGTTCGCAGTCTTGAAATCTCCGTGGAGCCTCAGAGGATCTCAGATGAGATCTTCATCCTTTAGTTTTGTTTCAACACCTTTTTCCATCTGCATGGAAAGCCCCACATAGCCTTTAGGGGTTTAGGGTTTGGGGTTTGGGGTTTAGGGCCTGGGGTTTGGGGTTCAGGGTTCAGGGTTTAGGGTTTTGGGTTCAGGGTTTAGGTTTTGGGGTTTGGGATGTAGGGCTTAGGGTTTGGGGTTTAATGTTTAGGGTTTGGGGTTAAGTCCCCGTGCCTGAACCCCTAACATCATGGAACACGTGTGATTTTGGCTATATTTTAAATGTTGCAGGGTTTAGGGCAAAACTTGTGGGGTCCAGGTAGTCATTAGCTCCCTCCTCCTCATTGCAAGAAATCTGCTCACCGTGAACGATGGTATCGGTGTTCCTACTCACCAATATACTTAATTCACATTCCCCCATCAATGTTCGGGGGGAGGGGGGGGGGGGATAAAAAACCTTCAAGAGAATGCCATTTATGATAAGGATGGTATTTATTGTGACAGGTTTGGAGGTTATTATCAGGGGCATGTGAGCCATCGTTTGCTGGTTGACCCAAGTCTAAAGTATGTGTTCTGGATACCACTCATACCAGGCTCCATCACTTACAGGTTCTCAGCAGGGAATACGTGAATACAATCTCTGTAGAATCCCTCTATCTGTAGTATATACCCGTATTTCTTACAGAGAACCAGTAAGATTAATTAAGTGGACTGAACTTTCTGTAAGGCTTGTTTGCGCATCCATGTTGTTTCGGTGACTACAGGGTAGGGAGGGTTTACTAGGGTAGGTCTGCGGGGCCACTATAAATATTGAATTCTTATGGCTTCATAAGGATTATGTAGGAGTTAAGGGAATTAAGGGCAATTCAAATTCAAAACCCAAACCCTGAACCCTACTAAGTTATGTTTAAACCTACCCCTCTTTAGAAAAAGCCTGCCATGGCTGCTTTTTGTCAGCTTGCTACCGCCTTGACCTTTTGCTTCGGCTACTCCTCAAAGTTCGCACCCGCTTTGGAAGTTTGGAAGAATCAAAATTTTAGGTCTTCAGGCCTGTACACAACTACATTTCGTCAATGGCGTGATCTTCAACAACCCGCTATAGTCCCCCTTAAGTAGATAGGATATGGGGTATATGGGGATCTTGTTACAATATACCCAAAGCCATGTTCTATCTACTCAAGGGGACCTATGAACTTTAAACCGTTTTCGTAAGCCCCATCACCCAGACCGAGGCGTTGTCAGAGTCCGATGTCGCACAAAGCCCCGCCATCGTCGCAGCCTGGGCCCCGCTGTTCCACGAAGGATTACTGCTGGGACATAACCCTAAGGGTCCAAGGACCCAAATGATAAGGTTTAGGTCCCGAACCCCATTCAAATTATAGGGCTTGGGCCCTGAAAACCTCAGTATTAGAGTCCTTGGACCCTTAGGGTAGGGTGTTGCAAGGATGATGTTGCAAATTTGTTCAACACAAGGTGTGCTTTGGGAGCCTTCCGGGTAACTGTGGCTTGCTTGATCGGTGAATGGGCCGCCAAAGCCCAGAATGAAGCAGATTGGAATCTCCGTCGGAGCCCAACAGCCTCCCTTACAACTTGTGTCACCCTCAACGCTGCAGCTCAAATCCCAAGACTTCCTCTACTTATGCGGCACCCTTCTTCGGCCCCAAGAACCCAACACCTGTGAATCAAAGCACCAAGGAACACTTTTTGGGGGCACAGATTTGGGATCCTGATTTGTAAGCTGCCTGGCGAGCTGCAAGGTTCTGCCCCTTTTTTTTGCGAACCCCTTTTACACTAATCTCCTGCCATCTTTGGGCATATAAAAGGCCCTCATTTAAGAAAGGAAACATAGCCTACCCTAAGCCCACTATGGGCATTTCCAAAAACAGGCTTCCCCTGTGCGTGCCCCAAGATACTACTGTAGACGATAAGTACTCCTGGAAAAGCACTCTACCAATCTCG